ATGAAGCTTTATAATGTATTTTAATAGTGCTTTGGAGTTGAAAAACCATGATACTCAAAGGTAATACCCCTAAAAGTATATGTGAGAAGGGATACCAATATCAAGACGAGTTTACAGCAATTTCTCACCATTTTTGTTGTCATTTTTTTACTTTGTCATCGTTTCATTACTTTTGGTGTGGAAATCGGAATACCATTTCTTTTGACAGAGTATTAGGTACTCCATCTATATACCCACTGAAAATGCCCATTGTTTTGGTTTAGGTTGAGGGAGTGGAACTTTGTTGCCCACCTGTAAAGATCTCCCTACACTGTGCCTGAGGCACTGTTAATGAGGGAATGAATATTTGTGATTAAACTCACATGTTTTTTTTCCCTTTTTAGTTTGAAAATAATGCCTTGAGGACCAAATATCTCAAAGGAGAAATCACAACAACTCCTTGAAAGATTTAGGGGAAAGTAATAAGGAAATTAACACTCTGATCAGTGCTGGGTTAAGATGATCACAGATGCAGGTGAGAAACCAACCAATCACAAATCTTGCTCTTGGAGACCTAGTAAAACAACTAACAGGACTCTTAAAATTATCTTGCCTCAAGTGAAGGTTGCATGGACACATGGCAACTTGTGTGATTTGTAAGGGACTCGCCATTTTGTACTAAAACCAGTGGGTACTCCATAGTAGTTTTTTTGTTGCATTGCAAAGCAGGACCAAAAGTACTGGGACTGACTGTATGCCCATCCTCCCTTTCAATTTACCTTGACTTGTTTCACTCTATCAAGCTCCTAAGCATCATCATCAATAACTAGCTGACTTGGGACAACTAAACAAACATCACTGTTAGGTCTACCGCTGCTTCAGGGGCTGAAGAGTCACAATTCCCTCAGCATTCCTGCCCTGAAACTCACACATCTACACATTAACCAAACTGAAATCAATATATAATTCCCCTGCCTAGTTGCACAGATTCATTACCACCCAGCAAGGCAACTTCAATTAAATACAAAAAAGAACTCCAAAAATCTAAATATTACACAACACTGCAACCTGCTGCCCCCTTTCATGACTGTAACAAGTCCATGCCCATCTGTGCCTAATCTGACTGCTATAAGGATTTGGCTACACAGAAGCCACTCTGGTCCAAGATATCAATTATCATTAATTCTAGCAAAATTCTAGTCTTGTGTTTCATTAGTAGCCCAATTGGGCACATTCTTTTACTCACTCTATTGTTATTAATTTGTAATTTACTGGTGCCATTTTACTATGATAATAATAATAATTTCTACCATTCCCATTATTACTATTAACATTATTTCACACATGCCCACCAACCTGCCTGCCAACTTGCCAACTTGCCTCCTCTCTCTCTCTCTCTCTCTCTCTCTCTCTCTCTCTCTCTCTCTCTCTCTCTCTCTCTCTCTCTCTCTCTCTCTCTCTCTCTCTCTCTCTCTCTCTTCCCCCCCCCAGTCTCTCTCTCTCTCTCTCCCCCCCCCCTCTCTCTCTCTCTCTCTCTTCCTCCCCCCCCTCTCTCTCTCTCTCTTCCCCCCCTCTCTCTCTCTCTCTCTCTCTCTTCCCCCCCCCCCCTCTCTCTCTCTCTCTCTCTCTCTCTCTTCCCCCCCCCCTCTCTCTCTCTTCCCCCCTTCTCTCTCTCTCTCTTCCCCTCTCTCTCTCTCTCTCTTCCCCCCCTCTCTCTCTCTCTCTCTTCCCCCCCTCTCTCTCTCTCTCTCTTCCCCCCCTCTCTCTCTCTCTCTCTCTTCCCCCCCCCCCTCTCTCTCTCTCTCTCTTCCCCCGCTCTCTCTCTCTCTCTCTCTTCCCCCCCTCTCTCTCTCTCTCTCTTCCCCCCCTCTCTCTCTCTCTCTTTCTTCCACCCCCCCCTCTCTCTCTCTCTCTCTCTCTCTCTCTTTCCCCCCCCTCTCTCTCTCTCTCTCTCTTCCCCCCCCCTCTCTCTCTCTCTCTCTCTTCCCCCCCCTCTCTCTCTCTCTCTCTCTCCCCCCCCCCCCTCTCTCTCTCTCTCTCTCTCTCTCTCTCTCTCTCTCTCTCTCACAATCAAAAAAGACTATGCACTTACTATTTTAAAACATCCTCCAGGAAGTATTCCTTGACTGGGTAGCATCTTCCAGGAACTGCAAATGGATTATCATCTTTCAGATTTGTTAGAATAGAGGTGTCATTTCAGTTTTATTACAATATTGTGTGGTATTTGAACACTAATGAGGAAACTACCAAATAACTTTTAGAACCCACCTCAGATTATTTTTTTTGGACTAGCAAGGGCATAAGTGACAACAGGTACACTGCGTAAGCAGGTAATTAGCACTAGGTACACCTATACAGACCTTTGCTTTTGGCAAATGGCCAAAGAACAGGTTTATACCAATTTCAGCAAAAAGTAAAATGATTTATGATGAAGATTTTTCTTTCAAATGTAAGTTTTGTGTACATTTCAACAAATATGCTTTCCATCAAGACTCCCTAATAATATGCTGTAGCTTATAAAGTGGTCTGTAAGTGTACAGAGTATGGAGTACACTCCCTAAAAAAGTATCTTTAATACTCTTTCACACTTAACAATATAAGACAGCAAAAATGGATGGAAAAAGTGCTATGAGCTCTACGTGATATTGGTATTCCTGAGAGGGGCATCATTTAGGAGAGGGGGAGGGTGGGATTTGTCCCTCCATAGACTTTGCCCCCCCCCCCCAGGGCCATAATGTTTAACTTTTTTTACTAGATACATCAATATAGATCCAATTATAGCTACAAATGCCCCTAAAATAACTCTTCTAAATGTTTGTTCACTTTACTCAAATACATTTTCAAAAATTTTAGGTTTTGAAATATATACTATTAATCCATCTGTGATGGTATTAGAAATCTCCCAGCATCATATACTTTGGTGATATAACTGTCCTGTCGCTGGGAGCGGAAGTCCACTACATGTAGCTGAACTTCCCGCTGAATGCACTCAAGCGCATCACTATGCATATAGCCACACCCGGCAGTTTAAGCGGTTTGTTATGACAGCTGGCTATACATATGATCCAGCAGTAACAAGTTAAACTAATTGGATCCAGTTGTGACACGGCTATCACATCACCAAAAATCCAGGTGATAGGCTTACGAGAGCAGCCATTCTGCTTGGTGGCAGCTTGTAGGCTGGGCGCAAACGAACACGTGTGTGCGGTGACAAGACTCTATGCCTCCTATTTGCAGAGTTATTTCCTTTTTTAACACATAAGCGTTTTTAGCTCTATTGCCATTTCCAATATCCATATTTGCCATTTGATTTGCATTATTCAGATGGTAATAAACTGTTTTCTTTGCACAGATTTCATATCCTCTCTGTAGGTAGCCTACAACTCACAGCAATAAAAATAAAAGTATGTAACACTTTGTTCTTGGTTCTTTTTTTTTCTTTCTTTCTTTTTTTTTTTTTTTGTAATATTAAATTTTCTATAATACAACCTGCATCACTAGTCACAGCACCAGGAATAAAATGTTGAGCATAGAGCCAGCGCCAGTCATGGTTCATGGACATTTCATTCCACACTCACACATAGAAGGGAATAATGCAAAATTGCCAAATGAGTCTAATAAACCTCCTAAGAGGTTTGTGTGAGTCTTTCCAACAACCCTAGCCTTCAGCCAAAATGCTCACGGCGGCAGGTTCACCTCACTCTACAGCCTACAGTCAGATTTACCAGCATCTTCATGTCACCTGCCACTCGTGCCAGATTTTAAATGACATGATGGTAACATCACCCAGATTGAAGAGGTTAATATTTCATGTTCCCACCAACAGCCTGGGAACACTGGCAAGTCTAGTGGTATGGATGCCATTAACCCAATGGTGACGGGTGAAGAAAAAAAAAAAAAAAAAAAAAAAAAACTCTATGCTCTGGCAAACAATGGCAGCGCCCCGACTTTGAGCGCGTGAGTTCGGTACATTAGCCCGAATCACTTGCTCGCTGCACTTTGGCCCACTGCCACGGCATACAGCCACACTCCACTTTTCAAGCGGTTTGTTTTCACGCCTAGCAGCGCCACCTGTCGTGAAGGGGTTAATGCCACTGTTAACCCGATTCTGCCGGCCCACGTCTAGTGGTGTTATAACAAAGTGCTTGGTCTGTGGAGTACGGTTGCACACTGCGGCGGCGTGCCAAGGTGCTTCAAGCAAGGCATTCAGCTTGAGGTAGCAAACTCCCGTACTCAAAGTTAGCTCATTGCCATTAATCTCCAGTGTAGGATTTTTATTTATTTTCTTCACCTAGCAGTAATGGGTTAACTGGTGTTCATCTACAAAGCACAATCACTCCCATTATGTAATTGCTTGTCCCATTATGTAATTGCTTGGGCAATGACGATGTGACGATTGCATTGCAGGTACGATCTTGAGGGAAGTCTCTGCCCATGACTGCTTAAACATTCTCAAAGAGACTGAGATCAGGCACTGCGCATAGATATAAGAACACTTATATTAACATCAGAAAAAAATTAAAGTCAAAATGTTTTGTGAAGAAATATTTTGTGATTTTTTCTTCAAAAATGTGAGTTTTGTCTACATTTATATATAGAATATGATTTTCATCGAGACTCCCAGGTAATATGCTGTAGTTTATGTAGGGGTCTATATGGTAGAAAAACACACAATGAAAAAACGAGATTTATTGAAAGTGAGAATACAGTTTCGAAATCCACCTGGATTCCATCTTCAGACCTGAAATTGGAATCCGGGTGGATTTCGAAACTGTAGTCTCACTTTCAATAAATCTCAATTTTGCATTGTGGGTATGAAATTTGTCATTTCCATTGTAAAGAGCCCTTCAATATGAAAGACATAGTTGGAAATTTGAACTTTGAAGAACAAGTGAAATTTTGATTATTTTATGTTAAAGATGATAGTACCCAATGATACCCGCTCTAAATTAAAAACTATATGGAATTTTGAAATTAGTCTTATCCTTTCCCTTTGCAAGGAGTTCATACAGCTAATGCACACTTTTCATGCATTTCAAGAAAAAAATACAACCTGAGGACGCTACCATTGGTCATAGGTACCATAAATACAGAAAATAATGACCCCACCCAGGCATCAGATCATTTTGTTAACTTATTTCCAAAGATAAAGCGATCAAATGACTGAATGCCAACACGATATTCAACGCCCAATGGGCATTTTTTACAAGTATCAATTAAAACAATTTTATCTGGAGCAACTAATTGAAAATCAAAATCACTCAGTGACCAGCTCCCCCTTCCCCACCCTTTCTGGAGCAAAGGAAAAATTCTCGCAATAAAATAATTTTATACATGCTTCCATAATTCTCAAATTTGAACTGATATATTGTAATCAAGCTAGAATCATAATCATAAAACAATTTTGTACTGATCTTGCCATCTACAGTTCTCCATTTCTCCACAATCAAATTTTCCAAAATATATAAATAAGTAAAATATATATATATATATATATTATTAGTAATTTCTGGTTTAGATTAGTTATCTTTATGATATAATGCATTTCTTAAACATTTCAGACAGGAATCTCTACTTTCATATAAATTGAAAAAAAAAAAAATAAATAAAAATAAAAAAATAATAATAGACAGATAACTTTACCAAGTATGGTCCTTATTGAAAACAATAACTCAGATTAACTTGGTAATCATTTCATCTCAAAGTTAATTAATTTTGTTTTTTTGATATATAATACCATTAAATTTAGCAAAGAAATAATAGAAATAACTAATTTTGGAATGTGTCCAAATCCCAAGGGCACATTCTCAGTACTTTGTTTCATAAGTCGGCAGACCGTCTAGGGTTCATAAATTGCAAGTGCCTCCATATCTTATTCTTTCTTTCACAAGTGGTCCATTTTTTTTATAAAAAAAAAATATATATATATATTTATATAAATATATACATACATACATACATACATATATATATATATATATATATATATATATATATATATATATATATATATATAAATATATATATATATATATATATACATATAAATATATATATATATATATATATATATATATATATATATATATATATATATGTATGTATGTATATATTTATATAAATATATATATTTTTTATTTATATAAATATATATATTTTTTATATATATATATACAGATAGTCCCCGACTTAAGAACATTCTACTTATGCACATTCCGTACATACGAACTTTTTTTTAAATACTTGAGTCCAAAAAATTGTTTGAAAGATGCTAGCAAACTTTAATTTCCCAGGCGCGAATATAGTTCATGAGTCTGCCACACCGCGGCGCCGCTGCGCTCACTCAGCTGTGGCGCATCACTCGCCTGCCCTCCCCCACAAACACGAATGCATCTCTTCACTATGTCCTCTTTACCGACATTTTTTGTTCCATAATTCGCTTTACCCCGTGCATCAATTCATCAAAATGTCGGGTGTTGAAGAGAAAGATTAACGGTGAAGCCAGTGGAATTGCCAAGAAATGTCAGGTTATAACTTTATATATATATATACAGATAGTCCCCGACTTAAGAACATTCTACTTATGCACATTCCGTACATACGAACTTTTTTTTAAATACTTGAGTCCAAAAAATTGTTTGAAAGATGCTAGCAAACTTTAAATTTCCCAGGCGCGAATATAGTTCATGAGTCTGCCACACCGCGGCGCCGCTGCGCTCACTCAGCTGTGCGCATCACTCGCCTGCCCTCCCCCACAAACACGAATGCATCTCTTCACTATGTCCTCTTACCGACATTTTTTGTTCCATAATTCGCTTTACCCGTGCATCAATTCATCAAAAATGTCGGGTGTGAAGAGAAAGATTAACGGTGAAGCCAGTGGAATTGCCAAGAAATGTCAGGTTATAACTTTATGGATCTTATCAATCGGTTCGCCAGCCAGTCACCACTACAATATATTTTCTTTTTGAATAAATTATGTTTCTACATTTAAAGTTGTATAAATCACCAAATAATATTAACTCTTTCACGACGGGTGACGCGCTAGGCGTGAAAAGAAACCGCACGAAAAGTGCCGTGCGGATGCGGGTTTACGCCAAGGCGGCGCGCCAAAGCGCAGCAAGCCAGTGATTCGGCCTGATGTACCGAACTCACGCACTCAAAGTTGGCGCACTGCCATTGTTTGCCAGAGTGTAGAGTTTTTTTATTTGAAAGTCACCACTACTATATATTTTATTTTTGAATAAATTATGTTTCTACATTAAAGTTGTATGAATCACCATCAACTAATATTAAAAGCATTACATATTACATGTACTGTATAAGGTATGTCATACTTATTGGGATTTATGTACAGGTATTCTTAAAGTAAACAAAACTTTAAAACAATGAGGAAAAAGGCAATGGAGACCCGACTTTCGACATACGGTCAAATCAACTTCCGAACAGCCTCTCGGTCCCCATTATGTCCATAAGTTGGGACTTACTATATATATATATATATATATATATATATATATATATATATATATATATATATATATATATATATATATATATGTATGCCCAAAGACTTAACACTATAGTTCACCATGACAGACAATCCAAAATAAAAAAATAAGTGGAAGATAAAAAATCAGGGCATGATACGATCTTCCCGTAGAGTTGATCAAATTGAAGAATATTTTTAAAGCAGTTCTGGGATGAGTTTGATGAAGGGGATAGTCTGGCACAACATCCACCCCCCAAAGAAAGAGTCAATTTTTTTTAACCTTTTGAGTGTGCCCCCCCACAAATTAAATTTGAGACAAACCACAATCTTATACTCTATAACATGCAAAAGAAATCAACTATATATCTACAACTGTCTTTTTTTTTTAATGATCAAATGAGTGGAGCAAGGTAGGCTTTTCTCGAGACTGTCCAATTAAACCAAAGTACAAATATCCATAGTTTCAAATAGTTGTCCTTACCATCAATTACAGGACAATTATTGAAGTATTTGGCATAGAGATTGACGTCCAGAGCAGCTGACATAAGGATGAGCTTCAGATGTCTGAACTTGTGGAGGCAGTCCCGCAAGACAAGCAGAAGGAAGTCAGTGAACCTGTCACGTTCATGTACCTCATCCACAAGAACTGAAATGTGAGAGTATCACAGTGGATTTGTATTTATTATACTTTTCTCCTCTCCTTTTCATATATAATCTATCAATTCAAAGGAATCAAAGGCAACCTTGCATTAAAATACAGGCAAATATCTATAAAATCTATAAATGGGCAAAAGTATAGGATAAATATCAGTATTGGGTGAATGCACATCCTAGCAAGAGCATGTGATCAAACAGACTTACTATGAGTGACACTAGCCAGGGAGGAGTCTCCCCCCATGAGCGTTCGCAACAGGACACCATTTGTACAGAATGTCAGGAGTGTTTTGGGGGACAATCTGTGAAGAACATTCATTTATAACAAAAAGCAGAAATTGTGGCCTCCATTTGCAGGCACTGTTCTTTACCCACAAAGTTAACCCAGAAAGGATCAAGGTTCTTTTTTACATTGCTACATACCTCTAAAAACAAAATAATATTTTTGCAATTTTCATTTTCCAATTGTCCTTCTGAAGTCAATTTTTATGGAGGAACTGTCAACAAACATATTCATAACCCTATTTTGAATTATGTTTTCAGTTTAATCCAAAGTACAAAAAGGCAGTTCTTACTTGCTCTCCAGTCTGATCTGGTATCCTACTGTGTACCCAACTTTCTCTCCTCTTTCTGCTGCTACTCTCTCTGCTGTTGTCAGGGCTGATATCCTCCTGGGTTGTGTACAGAAAATGCGGCAAGGCTTTCCAAGGGATGAAGCTTCCTGAAGTAACATTTGAGGTACCTAAAAGTGGAAAAAAAATGAACACCATTCTCCTGTTGAAATTTTGGCCTGCCTAGAAAACTATATAAAAGCACAAAAAAGACATTTTCTTAACATTTATAACTGCTCACTAAATCAATCAGGGAAGAAATTCTAAATTTCAATCTGATATGATTTTTACATGCAAACAGCTTATTACCACTTGCAAAATAGCAATGCATCATTTGGGACACAAAACAAACCTGGGTTGTTTTTCCTGAACCAGTCTCTCCACACACCAGTATGACCTGGTTGTGGTGGATGGCAGCCAGGAGCTGGTCCTTCATGTTCCATATGGGGAGCTTCCTGGCATCAGCTGTCAGATCGCTCAGGCTCGGAGGAGGAGGGATCTGCGGTGGGCCAGGGGTGAGGCGGCCCAGGGATCGCAGGACGCTCAGATCTCTTACTAAGAAAATATATAAGAAAAAGGAGAAAAATGCCACAAACTTATTTGAAAAAATCTTTAGGAGTATTTCAGCACATTTTGAAAACATCATTAACCCATTGCCGCCGGGGAAAATGAACAAAAAAATGGGGGAAATGCAGTACTCATTTTTTATATTTTTGTGAAATATCTCTGTCCATAGATGGCTCTGCTAGTCCTGATTTCACCTTTCCTTGAATTGGCAGGAAACAACTTATTCCTACTAGTGCTATAAATATAAATGGTGTTATTTTTAACAGCAAATTAGGATAACGTTAAATATTTTCGTATATCGATGAAAAGGGTGAACTGGCGAGGCAGGCAGTTCTCGTAATTGGCTAATTGGATACTTAGTACAAGTGTAGCCATCTATGTGTAAAAACAATCGAACAAGTCGACTCACAGTGGGCATGGCACGTACGTACATGCCATCCCCGGCGGCAATGGGTTAAGAATAATGATAGAAAGAATAAACAAGAATCAAAACCCAATTTCATCAAGCAACAGAAATTTAATTAATCCATAAATAATTTGTTTGAAATATTCTTACAATCTCAGTAATATAAGCATCACTGTCACCCAACAAAGACCTCAACCACAAACTGTTAATAAGCTGCCCAACCCCAGACCCTTATCAACCAGTCCTTCCATCTGTCTCTCTATCAAATCATCTATTCTCTCTCCCCTTGAT